AGGGCCAATATCACAGCATAGGAACCTTTAACCTATATATGGATTCAACTCTGTGGCCTTGGAGAAACAAAAGAACAGTGTATTTTTGATTCAGCATGGCCCCAGAGCCTGCCCTTGATTTCGTTTATGGCAAGCTGAAGAAGCAGCAGTGTGGGCTGAGGAGGAGGTGGTCAGTGTGGATAGCAGAGGATCATGTAGCATTTTCGTGCCTCTTTTAACAGATTGTTAGTGCTGCTGACTTCAGTATCTGACCTTCAAGTGAGCTGTGACATCATGACACCATAAAGACTTCTTGCATCTTTATATTATTTCTAGCAGCTTCATTTTAAAACTTTGGTTCTATTTCACTTTATTTGGTCCATTTGGGGGACACCAAAAAATAATTTAAAAACTTAAGTAACTTTTTCTGGACATATTATAGAACCGTTTTATTCCACTAAAAACTAGGTATTTTGTGTAATTTGATGACTTCAATGGGCATTCCCAGACCCTTTTTGAGAACAGTACCATCTAACTTTGAGTAACTTGCCTTCCACAAGCCTGGAGCAGCACATCTGCACCATGAAGAAAATAAAACAAATTTTCCTTTATGATGTCACTCTGCTAATATTAATGGTGGGCTTACTGCATGCAAGTGACTGTACAATAGCGGAACAGTTGGTCATAGTTATCGGCTCAATGCCCTGGACCACAGGTAGCCATTCACATGAACTAAAATTAAAATTAAGAATCCAGCTTAGAGGCCTTGTTGGGGCTTTAGACAGGGAGAGAGAATGGTCAGAATGATGTAGCTTGATGCAAAGGCCCTGGGTTCAAAAAAATTCATTTCTTTTTTCTTTTTTTTTTTTTCTCGGTATCGGGGATCAAACTCAGAGCCTGGTGTTTGCAGGGCAGGCACAGTGCCACTGAACTAAATCCCTGGCCCTAAAAAATTCATTTCTTTAGTTGCACTGATCACATTTCAAATGCTTTAATAACCGCATGAGGCACATGGCTAGTGGGCTGGAGAACAGAGATAAACATTTCCATTCTGGCAGAACGTTCCATTACGCATTCTAGAGTATTTCGGTTTCTGAAATATATTATTTCAGACATTTGGGAGGGAATGAATGTAGACTGTGTTCAGAATTATATTCTTGCTGAATGTGAAGTTTTAACATAGTATCAGTTCAAATGATTGGGATACTGGGTAGATACCAGATTTGTGAAGTCACTAGTTATGATGTTATGTAATTGTACTTCATGCAAACAGCATATTCACTATTTTTCCAACAAGTTTTGTGTTTGACACCATTTGCACCTGCCTGTCTCTTCCTTGGAACTGTTATGGCTTCAAGGCACTACTCAAGTTCCTTTTGATGTCTTGCCAGCATGTGCTGCTCTCCACTCCTCCGCTGCAATCTGTGTGCTCCTGCATGAATAAGAATATTTATACAGAGCCTTGATTGCACACCCCATTCTGTCATGCTGTTTGCCATAGCTCATGGTTCCCACTCCATCTGAAGGTCTTTGTACACGAAGTCCTCCTAGCTCTCTGTGACGCCACGTGGTTGTGCAAATGTGCACCGGAGATGGCTGTTTGTTCATTCAGCACATGCTTGGGGGGGGCCTGCTGTGTGGGAGCCACTCTGTTACAGTCGCTGGGCAAATGGCCATGCAAGTTGTGAGTAAACAGATTATTAACCAGTGTTTACGGAGCTGGGGGACGGCCGGTGATGATGGGTGCACAGACACTCATAATTTATGTTGCCATTTTATTTGTTTTATAAAACCTATCAGTTGTCACAGAGCAGCTTAAGAGAATCTAAAGTTCAGATTCAGATCACTGGACTGAGCCTGGCTTTTTTCTATTATTTTTAAAAGATTATACTCGTCCTCAAACTCAAGCAGAGAAACAGCAAGATGTTCCTTCCCTTCGGGTACAGAGTAAATACATTACACAGCGGAAGCACCTTATCAGGCCAGATTCTGGGTTTTACACTAAACCCCAAAGATGAGTTAGCTGAGATGTTTTTATTTATTTGCTTGAACACATGAGTGAAAAAGAAACTTTGTGATAGGAATCCCTAGAGAACCGTGGCGAGGCTTCCTCACTCTGAGTTAAAGCACTTCATTTATTCAGCACATGGCCCAGGACCCAGGCTCGGTCCTGCTTGGAATTGCCCACTTTCTAATAAACATATTAGGAAGGAGCTTAGTTATGGACAGAAGATATATATTTCCTTATGCCCAAAAGAATTGAAAGCTGGGTCTCCAAGAGCTATTTGTATACCTGTGTTGAGAGCAGCATTGCTCACAGTAATCAAAAGGCAGAGACAGCCCAAGTGTCCGTTAATGACAAGTGGATAAGGAAAACCTGATGTGTGTGCACAACAGAATACTGTCCAGCCCTAGGGAATGACGTTCTGACTTGGCCTGTGATGTGAATGACCCTCGAGGACTGTTTGCTAGGTGAAATAAGCCAGGCACAAAGGACATGCATGACTGCCTTGTCTGAGGTCCCTAGAGTGGTCACATCCATAGAGACAGACAGAAGAGTGGTGATTGCCAGGGGCTGGGGATAGGTGCTATTTAATGGGTGGGTACAGTTTCAGTTTCGCTAGATAAAAAGAGGCCTGGGGATTGGTTGCACAATATTGTGAATGTACTTAGCTCTCCTGAACTGGATGCCTAGAAATGGTTAAGGGGTAAATTATGGGGGGGGGGGGGATCAAAAAATATGGTGACTGTTTATTTTTAAATTGTATTATAGTAAAAGACACATTGCCACTAATCTCCTTCAAAATCCTCCCCCTCAATCCAAAAATACTTATCCCATCATCTTTTCTACTTTCTGAAGCAGTTCTCGAAGTCCTGTTTCCTGAGTGTCTTTAGTTGCACTGTCATGGCTTCCTCGATGTCCTGAATCGATTCAAAACGTTTACCTTTCTTGGTCATTTTGACTTGGGGAAGAGCAGAAGTCACACAGCGCCAGATCCAATGAATGAGTTGGATGAGGACACTATAGTGTTCTACAAGCCTGCCTTTCTGCTGGATGCACTCCACAGCAGCGTTCACCGTATTTTTTATTACAGATTGTAAAGAGACAAAAGAGGACTTCCAGAACTGCTTCAGAACATGGCAAGTGTATCCAAAGCAAGGGAGAATATTTTGAAGGGGACTAATGGTGTTGTGTCTTTTCTGTAACAAAACTTAATTTAAGCCATCACCCTATATTTTGATCACATCGCTTATACATTATGTGAATTTTACTACAATTAAATTTTTAAATAGAAATATATTTCTTAAAATAGTTTCATCTTTAGAGCCAGGTGTGGTATCACATGCCTGTAATCCCAGCATTTGGGAGGCTGAGACAAGAGGATCACCTTAAATTTAAAGCTAGGCTGGGCTACGTAGTTCAAGGCAAATCTGAACTACATAGTGAGACCCTGTCTCAAAACAACAAAACAAAACAAAAATACATATGTGTCCTTTTGTTGCTTTTGCTACTGTGTGGGTGCCATGAACTGTTTCTCCTCTGCAGTTCCCCTCTGTCCTTCGTTTTTGGTGTCTTCCACTGCCATTAACTGTTGCCCAGCTGATTATGAACTAAAACCTCTACAAACTGTGAGCTAAATAAACCTTTGCCCTTTGAAAAAAATATATTTCTTTTTCATGTTTAACTAGTGCAACCATTATGGAAATCAGTATTGAGATTCCTCAAAAAACTAAACATAGAAATTCCATTTGACCAGCTATTCCCCTTCTGGGTAGGTATCTTCCCAAAACACTTACAGACTCCATGTTAAGGGATGCATGCATACCCGTGTTCATAACAGCACAACTCATCATAGCTAAATCTTGGAAGTAGCCTATATGACCATTGGGAGATGAATAGATTTTAAAAATGTATTTATATACAATAGAGTACTACTATCATAAAGAAAGATAAACGCAAGTCATTTGTAGGAAAATGGTTGCACCTTGAGATCATACTGTTAAGTGAAATAAATCAAACATACAAATTTAAATATCACATGGTTTCTCTTCTATGAGAAACCCAAAATATAAATAAAGAGCAAAATGAACGATAAACAATAGGAAACAGGGAGATAAATGTTTGCAAATGAGATGGGCTCAAGAGATGTAAAGGTGGGAAAAGAATTAGGATGTGTTAAGGACCCGAGTTCAATCCCTGGTACCAAAAAAAAAAAAGAATTAGGATATGTCATGTGCATGGACCAGCTCCCCTCCCCACAAGAAATGTGGTCATTGTGTACTGCAAACATGCACTAATAAAAAATAAAAATTGAAAAACAGGTGACTGTGAAAAAACTTTTCATGTTTAAAAATAAGATTAAGTCAGATTCTCACTCCTAGTAATTCCTTCACCAGTGATCCATTTGCTATTTGTTCCTACATGAATTTTTCATTAATTCCTACCTTAATAGGAAGATCATACTTTTTTCAAACCATAATCTTAAGTTCAGTAAAGAGTTCATTCTATTCATTAACTATGTTAGGAATAGTGAGACCTATTTTGTTGTTTGGTTGTACTTCTGGAGAAATTCCAATTCTCCCAGTGAACCTTACTTCCCAACCGAATTACTGACAGCTTGGGGTAGCACCATAGTACCTCCTGCTTCTCTATGCTGCTTCACTGTGTACGGTAAGATGACGTACAGTGTTCACACCCCCATCCTAGAGATGAGGAAACAAAATCAAAAAGTTGGGATGATTTAGCCAGATACAGGTGGGACCAGAGTTCTCTCTCAGCCCTCTGGCCCCACAGTGGCCCCCAGCCCCTTACTGTGGAGTCCATGGGAAGTGGAATGACCACACAGCAGGGGAGGCATCACACCAAGCTTTGCTTAGGGAACACAGGTCCTGAGAGCTGACCCCCCTTGACCATGTGTGGTCCTTGAGCTGCAGTTGCTGGGAAGGGACTCAGGAGGGAATTTAAAGCCAATATCAAAACTCACAAGTTAACGGGCTTGTTGTCTTTTGTGTTTCTCCAGCTTCCAATTGTGGAAAAGATAAGAGCCATTGCCCAGTCTGTTTATGGAGCCAAGGATATTGAACTCTCTCCTGAGGCACAATCCAAAATAGATCGTTATACTCAACAGGTAAAAGTAGTCCCTTTAGGAAAATAATTCACCTCAGTGCTCAAAATACTCACCTCGATCCGAGGACTGGTGGTGGGTATTTTGCCAGCTGAACATGGCTTAATCTTCCTCAGATCTGCAAAGATTGAAGAGACAGCTCAGGTAGCTTGTGGGCTGTGTTTGGGTCAGTGCAGTGAGGGTGTATCCTCCAACATACGCATCACTGACTTCTGAGATTCCCAGTATGTCTGATACAGGGTTGTTCATATGTGGTGTGTGGTCTGTAGTCCCACCCACTCTGCCCGAAACTTTGGTGTGCAGCTGTGGAATCTGACGTAGAAAATTTTTTTTTGTTTTTGTTTTGTGGCACTAAGGATTGAGCCCAAGGCCTTCACACTGAACTACATCCCTACCCCTTTTAAATTTCTTTTCTTTTCTTTTTTTTCTTTTCTTTCTTTTTTTTTTTTTTTTGACAGTGTCTCACTAAATGACTGAATTGTCCAGGCTGGGCTCAAACTTCTGATCCTCCTGCTGCAGCCTCCCAGGGTACAGGTATCACAGGCACCACCTCCATGCCTGTCTCAGATGTAGATGATTTGCAGTGCTTCCTCTTCACTGCAGGCCTCTTGTTGCCTTAAAAGCCTTAGTACACTGCTAGGCAGAAAGGGATGCAGCATATGAAGCAGGGTGTTTGCTGTCTCTTTCATGCAGGTGGTTCATTTGCTTCCTAGAGGTTGAGGCTCCATCATCCTCCACTTCTAGGCATGATGAAGGTGGCCGTGATTGAGCATTATGAGCCACCATCCAGGCTGTCCTGGGTTCACCAGTCCACAGCTGGGCTTGGGGAGGTGGAAGTCCGAGAGCTTCTAGAGCTTCCTTAATCCTATTTGTAAATCTTCTCTGATATTTTGTTAAATACTATCAGTGCTGGCTCAGGAATTTTCCCAGGTTTTGGTCAGATTGTCAGCAGCTCATTTTTCTTGGAAGTTTCTGTATACATTCTAGGCGTTTCCTCTAAAAACTCTGTTCCTGGGCCGGGGATTTGACTCAGTGGTTTCGCCGCCTGCTGCGCAAGCGCAAAGACCTGAGTTCAATCCCTGGTACCAAAAAAAAAAAAACTCGGTTCCTAAATTTTGCTCTGCCCACTGGCATTGTTCTGTACTGAAATTTCCATTTGGGTACAATGAACTTAGTGAAATAAGATGATTGTCATGAAGTTTGGGATGTCCTCACCCCTCATGAGCTTTTAATAATGCTATATATGACTGTCATGCATTCCAATATTAAATTTTTGTTGGGTTTTTTTTTAGCCTTAAAATACTCTTTATGAGGTAATGTAGTAATGGTATATGGCACTTAAAAATATTTCTACTGGCAAATTTTTATCAGTTCATAGAAATTATTTCAATTATTTGACCAATGTCCAAAATTTTAGGCACCATTTCTAAAGAACATCTATGATTTTCCCTGAGCAAAATTCTTGTCAGTCTGTAAGAGTAGGGCTTTCAAAAAGAACTTGATAATGCAATTGATAATAGTCTAAAATGTTCCAAATAGTTCTGGGTTGAATCATAAGAACTAGAACTCCCATATGAGTTACCTCTGAAGATTGCATTCCTTTTATGTCTGTCTACCAAGGGAATATTTCCTAAAACTTATGTGTCAAGTATGTGATTGCAATTAATTAGCGACGTCTCCAAAGGAACACTGTGTGCCATTTAATCCCAAGCAGGCTTCAGAGACACTGTCCTTTTTGTGAGGCACTCAATGTGACTTCTTGCCCTTTCACCTTTGGAACTCTTGGGTCAGGCATAGACTTTGGTCCTTAAAAATAAGAGGCTTAAAAAGTGACCTCATCTTAGTTACTATAATGTAATCACAGATCAAATAGCCATGATTCATAAACCAGCACAAAGAGCCCTTTGCTTCCTGCAAGACTCCAAGAATGAGTGACCGTCCTGACTAAGAGCCTCATTACGGAACCTTTCTCCAGATTACCTTTCTAGTCCCGGATATTAATAGCCCTGGAAAGTGGTTTCTACAGCTGCTGCCCCTGCTGTGCCTAAAAATAGCCTTGTTTTCCCCCACACAGATCATAAAGCTGCCTCCTCTTAAATAAGAGAACCTCTAAAATAAACAGTAGACCCCACAACCTGCTCAATAATGGCCGCCTGCAGATGAGTTCTTACCCCATTTCTTGCTCTTTCAGTGAACAAGTGGAAGCAGCATCTACCAGCTGACGTGATTGCTGCAGAGATTGTATGAAATGCAAATGAAACAAGTGCAGGAGCACAGCACTTGTGTCTTTGAACAAATTTCTTTTCCTTTCTTACAGGGCTTTGGAAATTTGCCCATCTGCATGGCCAAGACCCATCTCTCTCTGTCTCACCAGCCTGAAAGGAAAGGTGTGCCAAGGGATTTCATTCTACCCATCAGTGACGTCCGGGCCAGCATAGGTGCTGGGTTCATTTACCCTCTGGTTGGAACGGTGAGTAAGAGGCTCCTCATTCTTTGTTCTTGTGTTGCCTGAAGTCCTTATGTTTTGCAAATCATCCACAAAGAAGTATGAATGTTATTTGGTATTTTTCTAATTGCTCCTCCAACAAAAGCAAAACAAAAAGCCATCTCTGCCACTGCAGTTCCAGGCTTGTCTTTTTTCAGAGGATGTGTTCAGGATTCATTGAGTCATAAAAGTGATTCCCCTCCTAGGATGGAGAAGAGAACAACATGGAAGGATTTGGTCTGTTACTTGGCCTGGTGTAATGCCTCTCACCCTTTTCCACATCAAGGCCCTCAAAATCATAATACTGTGCCATGGTGAGGACAATGGAGGTGGCTGCTCATGCCACCCACCCCAGAAGCTGGAGGATCAACAGCTCACCCGTTTACCTCCTTCCTCAGCATGTCAAGTGGGAAGCTCTGGCTGAAAAAGTTAATGAAACACATGACTTCCCAATTTTGACATAGTCACAGTGGGACTGCAATGCTTTCGGGTGATTTATTATTTCAGCTTATTGAAAGTATAATTTAAAAGACCAAAATAAAAGGTACAATATAGGAAACAGGCAGACCTTTTGACTTCTTTGTCACAGGAGTGCTTCTGGATTAGGTTTATAGCCAAAAATCTCTAACTCATCATCATTATCATTATTGTTGTTACCACAAACCGATCTAAGCCCAAACAAAACAGACTTTTGGGGGGGGGGGTAGTTTACGTTTCATCTAATAATGTGCAAAAGGTTTTCATCAGCATGTTTGGGGTTCTTCCTGAACATGAGGGCTGGGGATTCTGAAAGGAGCAGGTTCGAGCAGCAGAGATTTGACCAGCACAGAGGTGAAAAGTGGCTGTGCTGCCTTCTGGACCTTTAGTCCAGTGAGGGCTTGGAGAGGGACTCAGAGTGTTCATAAAGCTCCCGGCCTCAGAACTAGAGAAACAGTGATAGCAGCTCCAAGGCACGAAGCACATGGTATCCTTGCCCAGGTGGTCCAGTGTGGCTGAGAGAGGGGATGGGGATAGTGGGATGGGACCCAGCTGTTAAGGGCCTCAAATGCCATCATCCCATGCACACTAGGGAGCCACAGAGGGTGAGGTTCCCTGAACAAGGAGAACAACGTGGTCTGATTTGTATTTTAGGAAAATAGGTCTAAGAGCAGAGTAGAGGCTGTTTAAAGGAAAAAGAACCAGACCGGGGAGATGGTTGGGGCCAGAGGTAATTAAAATCCACACTGGGCTACAGAAGTAGATATGGAGAGTGTAGGTGAATCTGAGACATATTTCTAAAGGTTGCTTCCTTTCAAGGGGACAGCAGTGGTGGGGAGGCATTCCAGCTGGGTGGCTTTGGGTGGCGATACCATCAGTCATGTGAAGAGCACAGGAGGAAGGCAGATTGGCAGGGCCAAGAATGAAGGTGGCTTGGGCAGAGTTTGAAGGGGTCACAGCATAGGTAAAGTACACTTTGCCAACATTGGAAACATGGACACAGTGCTCAGGAGAAAGAAACAGGAAGGTGACCTTGTAAGGTGACAGTCTGCAGTGCTGGGGGACCCTGGAGACGAAACCCAGGGTCTCACAGGCCCTAGGCAAGTACTCTCCCATGGAATACGCCCCAGCCCAGCCTGTGTGTTTTAAGAACATAGGGAAAGGTGTTGTTCGGTGAAGGAAGAAACAAGGCTAGCGCAAGAGCAATGAGAAGAGAATAAAGGAAGGAGTCCCACAAAACACTACATTGACACCACTGAAGGAGTAATGGCCTCCCAAGGAGTCAGAAGGAACCACAAAGACATGGCAATTTGCAGAATCCGGGAGACGCCACAGAAGCTGGATACCTGAGGTTTCGGGTGGGAGAAGGGTTAGACACACACAGCGTAGCTATAGAAGAGGGTTCCAATCAAACAGACCCTGAATAACATGTTCAGGGGTGCAGTTCATTTGGCAGTGCCAGGACATGGACATCAGGTCAGGGAGGGGGCTGATGACAGAGAGGTGTGAGCAAACTTTTAGGGGTGATGGGAATCCTGTTACACTTTGGTTATCATAGTAGTTCTATGGCTGTATGCATCTATCCAAACTCATAGAACATTTTATTGTGTGTAATTCGAATATACTTTAACTAACAAAAATGGGCCCAGCGCCGTGGTGCACCCCTGGAATCCCATCTATTTGGGAGCCTGAGGCAGGAGTTTGAGGCCAGCCTGGGCAACATAGGAAGCGAGACAGACTCACTTCAAAACAAATGAGTTCTCAGAAAAGTTGATCGGCCTAGGCATATTCAAACTGCTACAGTAGTTCACCCAACAAATTCATTCATTCATTCATTCAGCTGGGGTGCAGACAGCACTGGGCTCAGTTCCAGGACAGCCGCAGCATAAACACTTTCCCTGCTGCCGGCAGCTCACACTGATGCAGGTGGGTAACTGTGAAACCACAAAGGAGTGGTTCAAGCATTTTATAGCCATTAAATAAAAATCACAATATAATTTAAAATCTCACTAAACAAATATATAATATCAGTCTCCTCACACCCCCATTACCACCACCGCATCCACTGCCCGGGAACGACCAGAACTGTTCTATAAAATCAGAGTTCTGTAACCAAGATTAGTGTCTGAACCCCAGTTGGCTTCCCGTTCCAACCTCACTCTCTGACTGACGGCTGACTAGCCAGAAAGTGAACGTGCCGTGCCCAGTGGCCCTGGAGGCACGGCCAAGGCACCGGGGCTTCCTGGCTGGGTCCTCGTGTGTCATTATCTTACTTCCCAGCACTCGAGAGTTCCTCCTGTGACCACACACAGGGAGGCAGTGAGCGTCAGAGCACTGGGGTGAGACCTTCCAGGAACAATGGGCTGCTGAAAGAGGAAGGAAGTAGGGGCTGACTAAAGAAGCTCCTGGAGTTCAGGAAGCCTTCACTTGGAGGCAGTGGCCTAGCAGGCTACTTTCTATGACGAAGCCCGAAGCTGCTTGGGGAGCTGGCACATGCACCCCAGAGGCCAGGATCTCCTAATAAGGGTTGGTATTTACTTTGCCTTGACCCCATTCTGGACCCTGTCACAGGCTGCTGAAATGCTTCTACCATTTATCACCCATGCGAGAGGCAGGATAGCAATTTCCTGCAGAGATGACCGAGGGGGAAGGGGAATGGGAACACTGGGGGTTCTGGCTCCTGCAGGTGGGAAAATTCTAGCCAAATGAATCACTGTTGTGCTTAGTCACTGGACGTGTGCCCATGAAACAACATAGCTATCTGCCCGCTCCAGAAGGGAGGTCCCAGTGAGCCCTCACAATCAGATAGGCTCTCCATTCTTGTGTAGTGTCTGTTCACCCATTCATTCAGCAAATCAAAGGCCATAAACCTCACGCAGATGAACAAGATCTCGTTCTTCTCTCACAGGCTTTGTGACAGATTCTGATAAATAAAACCAGGCAAGTACAGAGTGCTATAGGCTTCCTAACAGAAGGAGAAATTCCCTTTTGACAGGTCCTGGAAGGAGACAGAGAGCCCTTTCCCCTCTGCCTTCTGCATAGGAAAATGAACGAGTCCCAGCACAGGCAGGTCCCTCCTGGAATAATAAAAACCTCGGTGTGGCTGACAGTGGGAGATCCCGTGGAGTGACACTAGAGGGTTCAGCTTTTTTCCCCCTCTGGATTTAGCTTTTAAAGTACTTTTACGGCCATCTTCACTTTTAGGTCACATCTTTCTCTACCACTGAGCTATTGCATCATGTTCTGTTTGTTTCTTGCTCTAGTTGGCATCCGTTAACGCAAGCTAGCTGTAATGATTAATGCATTAGCTAATGCAGCAGCCCTCCTAGTCATTGCCCTTCCCCAGGCTTTTCCATAGAAGCCTACAGTGCCTGGTTTCCTCAGCACATGAACATCTGAGACTTTTGCTACAGTCGTTTTGTTTTGCTTGCTGTACCAAGGATTGAACTCGGGACCTTGTGCTTGCAAGGCAGGCACGGTGCCATTGAGCTAAATCCCCAGCCCCGTTTGCTACAGTTTTTAATGTCCACTGTAGTATTTTCCTTGTCACTAAGTTTTCCTTCCTAAAATAACTTTTCTCATTCCTACTAAGCTTCCTGTGTAGTGTACTCTTGCCTCTTTTAGATGACGTTTTCCTTATATATTCTCTCCAGCATTTTACTAATAACTACAAAATAGTACAAGATTCTTGACCAGCATGAAACCACTTAGTACATCTTTTTGTAAAAAATTGTTGATCAAAGACAGATCTTTGTAATGAGGAGAGAAAAACAAGCTTTTGTATTTTTTGTTTTAGGTCTTCCCGTCCTCTATTCTATAAATTACCTTGTTATGGTATATTTCCAGAATTCTCTCAAAGCTGATGGCTTATAGTGTTCAGTAAAACTAATAGCTAATAAGCCGGGTGTGGTGGCGCATGCCTGTGATCCCAGTACTTGGGAGGCTGAGGCAGGAGGATCATTGTGAGTTCCAGGCTAGCCTGGGCTACCTAGTGAGTTCAAGACTGGCTTGAACTACATAGCAAGACCCTATCTCAAAAATCTAAAAGAGAGAAAAAAGACCAAACTGTTAGCTAATAAAACTATTAGCTCAAAAAAGTCTCATACCAAGAAAAAAAAGAAAAAAACATTAGTAGACTTGAAGTCTGTCCAGGGACAAGGTCTGAAAGATCAGCAGTAAAACTGGCAATTTATCCAGCTAGCCTGGCCTTCGTCTCCACTGGGGATGACCTAACCTGGCCACATCTCTACCCAGATCCACCCTGGCGCCATCACCTGCAGGACTTGGAAAAGCAGGGACATGCAGGAGTGCATCAGGGAACAGTCATGTCATACTGGCTGGTGCTGGGTGGACTGGCCGGGGAGGAGGTGAAAAAGAAAATGGGGTCCCACCCTGCGGAGCCATGGCCGCTTTGTCCTTTCTCACGTTCGTTTGGCTCAGCTCACTTTGTTTTCCCTCCTCCCATTTCTATAGAAGTATTTGCTGAATGCTGAGTTGCCTGCTGGGGCAGATTCAGGTCAGCCATGACAGGGTTCTTTTCAACTCAGTGGGGTGTCTTTTCCCCCTCAAGATGCGCACACATGGTGACACAGTTGCTCCACTTGGTTAGGCATAAGGTGAATTCATTCAGACCTTCTAGGTGTAAATCAAACACATGACTCCTCACATTTTGCAGAGATTTATGGGCAGTTACATAGTAAGAAAATTAAACATTCACTCCCCACGCTGCATTTTAAGTGAGACAGATAAGGAGTAACCTAGAAAGGGCACTGTGATGGGGGGCTATGAGGAACTCCATTATCCCGGAGCCCAGTGATGGTGTATTTCCTAAGAAGTGACCACTCCTGCTCTCCTTCACTCTCCACTTTTCCTACCTTCCCACTCCCACTCAGCAAATAGAGAAAATTTGCGCTTATTGTACCAAAGTCTCTGCAAATGGCCTTCCTATCTCCAGTGCTCCTCCACCGTAAGCCAAAGTGTGGTGCCGCACTCCTAGAATCCCAGCACTCAGGAGGTTGAAGCAAGAGGATCATGTGAGTTCGAGGCCAGCCTGGGTTACATAGTGCCAACCTGAATGACATAGCGAGACTCTTATCTCAAAGAAAAAAGAAAAAAACATGCTCTTCGGCACTGATTTAGCCTGACACCTGCAATCTCTCTGATGGGTTTGAAATAAAGCAGGTTCAGCTCTGTCTTCCCTTTGTTTGAATCTCTGCATCCTCTAACCCTATTGCTGAGCTGTGGATTTCCTTTTTCCCACCCGGCATGTGTCCCTCCCCCCGCCCTGCTCTTCCTTATCTCTTCATCAGAATTTCCTGCTTTCTCTCAAACCTGGCCCAGGCATCCACTGCTTCCTCTGACCATGACGTCCTTGCGGCAGGTTTCCCAGTAGCTTTGTGATCACCCCTTCCTCCAGGGAAAATAACACAGGGTCTGGCCAGAAGGGAAGGAGTCATTCTTGTCCTTGCAGTGTGGCCTGCTCAGGGGAGAGGAAAGTGACTGTCTTCATTCTCCACTTCCAGAAACTGTTTATCATATTGACAAGAGTAAAAAGCCTTGTGACTCATGAAAATGATGTTTTCTTCACTGCCACATAAGGTTATCTTGGTCCAGTCCATTTGTGTAGATCTTTTCTGTCCTGGTTTAATGCAAAGTTATTTGTAGCACAAAATATAAAATTACTGTAAATGAAATCACCCTCAGCCAGAGAAACACACTGAGCATTGATGTTGTGAAATATTCCTATTTCTGACTTGAATTTTTTATCTGTTGCCATTAATCTTCATATATTGGTTCTATCTTTCTTACCTCCTATGTATATAGAAGGGGATATTGTAATACTTTTGTGTCCAGTCCTACAACCAACATATCCATCTGTTGTTTTTTCTAAGGATTTATGCAATATCGACTCAGTTCTCCTCCACTTTTATCTATAGCCTACTTGTTTTCTTTCCCACATTTTTGGCTTAGATTCTCAGCATAAAAATGACAGCAGATATATATATATATATATATATATATATATATATATATATATCCCAGTTCAGAACTCCTAAAAGGTGCTCATAAAATCCTCTGGCACTCATGGGTTTTCTCTTTACTCTGTACCTCTTTGTTACATTCCTTACACTTTGATATCCCAGACTTTGCTAAGAAGCATATAATCAGAAGCAGCTAAGCCATTTATGCAAAGGAAATGAAATTAATACAAACCAAAATACCACTTTTCCAGATTAAATAATCAGGCCACCCTCAGAGTCAGTGTAAGGGTTTAGTGGGAAAGATAAATAAAGAGAAGCTAAACTTTTAAGAAAAATGACATTGTTTAAAACTGGAGTTATAATTTCTGGACAAATATAACATATCTGGGACTCATGGCAATTTTACAGGTCTAGCTACATATGGGTCTGTTAAATTATCTGCCTGCGCATATCCAATTAAATGAAAATATATGTGATAAATGGCCAGTGAGAGAATTAGTTGTCACATTCCTGGGTATCACTGAAAATTCAAAATGTTTAATTAGATGTGGCTATTCACACTGGTACAAAATCAGAGAACAATGTACAGCACATTTAGGGAGATAATTTATATTGAGTTCAATGATAAATGAATGAATTTTATGAAGTCTGAGAAACCCAACATGAAAATTCATAACCTATGTGCCAGCCATCTGTAAGAATTTGCTAGATGTCACCATTAAACACACTGAGAATTACAAATACCATTTATTTGTAAGAAAGGTACCACACAGTGCTAAGGAAGGAACCAAGTGGTAAGAACATAAGGAGCCTATCAGTCTTCCATGTGAGACTCATCCCAACCCCAGGATCAGCTGTGGAGAGCACAGAGCCCATCTCTACCATGTTTATCTGCACCTCCCTCAGGGCTTTGTCGTTTCCCAAACTTAGCTGTGTTTCTCCTCTGAGTACACAGTTACTCAAGCTGCCGAGCCTTCCCCAGGACCAGTGTTGCTGGTACAGTGCCCCTGTTACACCTACCCACCTCCACACTCCATTTCTTCTTCACACACCCACATTTGTGCCACCAGCTCCACCCAGCTGAGGCTGTCACGAGTACTTTTTTGGGTGTCCTCTTGTTTTACCAAGTCATTTTTACTCAGTGTCTCTTGTTAATCTGCGTCACCCCCAAGTGGGGACCATGACTTCAGTTCTGTTCATCTCCCCACATGAGAAGCCCAGTGTAGAATGCACCTTAGTGACCAAGTCGGCGTGCTGTTCTGGTGGCCTGCCAATGTGAACTCATCAGGACTGGAGTCCCAGGCTTCACACTACTCTAAGAAAGTCTTGTAAAGGGCTATCAGAGAGGCTGAAGCCACAAATCCTTTGTATTTTAGCCTCTGGAATCTGGTACCTTGGCCTTTCTTGTCCTGTGAGTTCCCCATCACCAGTACTATAAAAGCAGGTCCAAATACATTAATCTTATTAACGTACTTAGCTGTGGACCTAAGATCAAATATCCCACCATAAAGGAAAAAACAATCATCGTCTATCCAAGACTTCTAGGACAAACTGTAAGAAAATTCATAGCCAAGCACTTCCCCAGTGAACACCAAGTATCCTTTAATTCAGTCAGTTCTGATGGTGTCTACCTGTAGTTAATGTCATTGTATTCCAGCAGCTAAGGGCTCATCCCACACCACTGCCCCTACGCCAAATGCTAATTGCAAGCCCGGGCCATCTGTACTTCTAACCCAGCTGGCCCAAAACTGGGCTTCTCACCACCCTCCTCAGCTTCAGTTTGCAACTCAAGAAAACACATTGCTGGTTTATTCTGGAGATTACTAGGAAAGACACAGATAAACAACCTAATGCAGTCCGTAGGGCGGGGTCTGAAGAGTCCCAGAAACGGGAGCTTTTTTAGAGTATATGGGTTCACCAACCCGGAAGTTCACCACATCTTGTTCGAGAGTTTTTGTATAGAGTAATCTCCAGTCCCACTCCCTGTCTTTCCTGCCTGTTAGTGGGTGGGGCTGAAAAATCCCAGCCCTCTCTTTTTGTATTTTGTTTTTTGTTTTTGTTCTTGGGTGTGCACTTGGGTGGGGTGAGGGAATCTGGGAATCGAACCCAGAGTCTTGCCCATGCTAGGAAAGCACTCAACTACTGAGCTGCACCCTGGGACCCCAGCTCTCATCTTCTAAGTGTTACTAAGGCCTGTCTTTGCCCACTGTCCAGAAATCCAATCTCTGAGATGAGTTTTGCAAAACAGTTTAATTCATAAGGTAGTCAGACACAAGACAGGAGGCCCTAAACTCCTACCTTCCTCCCCAAGGGTATGATTTAGGGGTATTTATGAGATAAAAACAGGGTGGTGTGAGGTGTGGGGAACAGTGATTGGAGATAAAGGCGAAGTAATCAGTCTGCATGGCTGACAAATTTTATGGCTTTTCATAGGAGGCACGTTCAGCAAATGACAGTGTTAGCATGATGTGCGGGTGTATTTGGCTGTCTGATGTCAAAGGTCCTCCATGGAGCCAGGTATGGTGATGCATGCCTATAATCTCAGCACTCCAGAAGGCTGAGGCAGGAGGATCTCAAAGTCTGGGCAACTTAGCAATTTAATGAGACCCTTGTTATAATAGAAAATAAAGAGGCTAAATGTAACTCAGTGTGAAGGCTCAATCCCCAGAACCATAGACAGATTAGATAGGGAGGTAGAGAGTGAGGGAGGGTTATGGCCTAATGCTAAAGTGTTGGGTTCAATCCCCAGTACCACCGAAAAAACAAAGTCACCCAGGTTCATTGAGGGAGGTTGTGGTTTCAACCAGTTTCAGCTAAATATTCCTCACAGTTCCTTGATTAAAAGCTTAAAGTAGTCATTACCAAGCTGTCTTAGTTACTGTTGCATTACTGGTACAAAATACCTGACACCCACAAGTTGAAAAGGAAAGGTTTGTAGAGGTTTTAGCCCTTAGTGGAAATGAGAAGACACATAAACCAGCCTCAAAAATAGACTTCCAGATCACCTACAGCAACCCCAAAGGGAAAC